CCCTGTTACTAAAGCATTAATTATCCACAGGAATTAAATGACTTACAAAGTTTTTCATTGAAGTATGACTTTTTAGAAATTTAAATTGAATTAAAGTTGATTTGAGATTGCAGACCACCATAGTCAAACTAAAAAAAAGAAGAAATTTCAACCCTAAATTTTTAATTTACTTTGAATTCACTTTGAATTTGTGACAATTCACTCTTTAGCAGTTCACTCTGTAAGTATTAAAAAAGAAAAAACACAGTCAAGTGAGATACACATATTAGTCACCAACAATCTCTACTATTAAAGAAGGTTTGAATTATATACTAGAAAATAAGGGGTACGAACTGGCTCTCAGACAACCTTCTTTGCAGTTAGATAACCTTAGACACTACTGGGTTGAATAGGAAACAAATATTAAATTAATTCAAATTTATGTTACAAAAAAAACTACTGTGGATGGATGCACTCCTCTTCCACTTTTATTTTTTACTTCTTCCTCTGCCCCCCCTTCTTCCTCCAATTTTTTTTATTTTTTGTTGTACTCATTAACAATGCAATTTAATTGCATATTTCATTCATACCAGTATGTTTTCACAATGAAAATGAACTATAAAGTTCCCGTTCAATACTTCCATCATTGATTTACATATGGACTGGATACATTGATATTTACTCTTTTTATGTATAATGTGACGAGACCAATCTCGCCACATTGCATTGGAGAAGCCTGGTTGCTCGCCTGCTGCCTTTGGACTATGGCCCCCTGTTAAAAGACATCTTTTTTACCTGCAGAAAAGCTTCATTCGTGCTTTTCTGCCCGGTGTTCGGTAGTTTTGTTTGAATGTGTTATACCCCAGATGGGAATCCCATGGAGCCCATTCGTATGAAACTGACTGTAAAGACTTTGGCTCCATGGTGATTAAACTGTATTTGTGTGGTCCGAGCGCCATTCACTTAATAATGTGCGCTCAGACCTGAGCTATCTGGGGATATGTGAAATGTCTGTGTTTTATGTATAAATGTGACTTTATGTATTTTAAAGTGCTTTGTGTCTTTTTGCAACCATGTGCTTAATGGAGTCTTGTGTCTGTCCTGGGAGATAATTCAATTACTCTCCAGGATAGAAGACTCTGAAACTGGTTTGGGCCAGAAAGCCATGCTTCATTTAGTCACAAAGGACTTTTTACTAACTTTTGAACCCCTTGTCTGATTTGTGCCATTTTTGAATATGTTGTTCCCCTGAATGGATTGATTGAGAATATGTAATTTTATGTGAATGTGATGTATGGTTTTGGAGTTATGAAAGTTGGGTAGAAAGTATGTTTTAACTGTTTGTATAATTGAGTTTCCTCTCAGGATAAGGGGAGGGAATATGTGGGATGTAACTGTGATATGATTGGTTGTTTTATCCCTCCCTGTGGGTGGTCCTGTATTTGAAACACTGTAATAAAAACCAGGCTGGGTGTGCCAGCACCTCAGACCACTGCTTGACCCTCAACACGGAGCCTTGTCTCGTTCTTGGGGGGATTCACTGTATGCTGTTAGAGACTGATTGCCAGGAGTGTAAGTCTGCTTTTCCTGTTCGTCTGCTAGCAGCTATTTGGGAGGTTCCAGTTCGGGAGTTGGAGTGCTATTTTGTATCCAGTTTGGGAGTTTGGTGTTCTGCAGTAGCTGTGCCTGCATCTCTGGAAAGGGGGCCGATCGCCTAAACGGTTTTTTCCCTTTTTGTGCAAAAAGGTCCGTTACAATTGGTGGCAAGCGGCGGGATGGCATCCTAGTGCGAGGAGAAGCAGCTCGGAGACACTGGTAACGTGTGGAGTTGTGCAGCGTCCTTATCTTCAGCAACATAATGGAACCAGCAGTGGCTACAGCAAGCATGGCGTATAGCTACTCCGTACTAGAGTTTGGCACGATGGTAGGGTTGCACCTGAAGTTTTACGGACCCAATCCAGAGGAGAAATACGTGCGGTTCGTGTGGGACATGGTGACCCGGAACCTACAACACAGGGCGTTGAGGGAAGGCCAGTGGGCACGTTGGGAGAAACTCCAGCCACAGGTAGAGTGGGACGAGGAAGAAACCGAGGTGGCCGGTGGAGATGGGACCGAGGTCTCTCTACCGGCCCTACAGGGATGCTGGGCACCCGGCCC